AATTATTGTAAGTTACTATACTCGAAAAATATAGTGAATGCACAAAGATTTTAAACACTCCAAAAATGAAATATGTATGGGTATTTATGCATATGCAAAAAGCATGTATGTCTGCCCTTAATAAAATACATAAATGTTTATTAAATTATTTATAAATGTATTTGAAATGAAGAATTTATTCACTTATAAACAACTGTGAAAGTACTGTGAAGAAATCTAATGATTAATGTATCTAATTTATAATGATTATAAATGTTATATAATAACCTTAATATTGAATTGTAAACATAAATTGAAATCTGTTGACAAATACGTTATAAAACTATTTAAGCAAGAATTATTCGTATTGGAAAGCAATCTGTTAAAAGGTATTGTAAAGCAAATGCTATGAGATGCGCACTTAAGAACGTAATAAAAGAGTTTGCAATATGTATTGTTGAAATGAAGGGTAAAAAAAAAAAAAAATCTGATCAGTAATTAAGAGGAATTATTCCTTACATTTTATAATAACTCAGTTACAAGCTTAAATATTGAAAAAAAAAAAAAACTTATTTTATTCCCTTTCAGAAATGTTCAGAGAAAGTCAAATACTATTTAATACCTATTTAATTATTAGGAATTAGCGAAATACTTATTTAAAGTATTTCCCTAATTCCTAATAATTCTCTAATTTAAAATGAACCGAATAGAGCATTAATATAAATTGACTTACATTTTTTCGATTTTAAAGATGCCTCAGAAGCCAAAAATCATGTCATATTAAGAAGGATTTTAGGAAAGAAGCTCTATAAATAGAAAAGAATAATGCATAATTTTAATATTAATAAATACAATAAACTTTGATCTATTTTTGTACCTTAACCGAATAAAATCGATTACCTTAATTTTTTTTCTAATGTAATTAACGAAACTTGTGGAAAATATTTCATTCAAATTAAAACCATTCTGAGAAAACTGTCCTGTGAAAAGTATAGCATTAATTCCGTTCAGAATGAAATGTTGTTTAAACATATGTTTTGTTTTCACATACTTAGGACTCTGAAGTATTGTAGAAAAAGAAATATATATACATTATATGTATATTTTCGACTAATTACAAAATATTCACCCGAACGGTCAATCATAGAATCATGGAATGACCCAATGTTTGGTCACCACTAGGATCGCGGGCTTCAGGCGGTCGGAAACTGTTAGGCGATCCATCTTACTTCCTACTCCATGTTAGGGGGTCTACTGATAATAGTTTCCCTTGTGGCCATCAACAGGCCCTCAGGGAGGCAAAGTGCCCCAGGAATCTATATAACATCTTCAACGATTATCTGGACTCAAGAAGTCTCATAATCGCAAACAATAGTGGTGTCTATACAAAGAAGCAGGAGAGGGGTTGCCCACAAGGCTCTTGCGCGGGGCCCCTGCTTTGGATAATTACGTTCAATGCGCTACTGCAACTCAATTGGCCTGACCACACCAAAGTAGTGGCGTATGCCGATGATGCGGCACTACTAGTTACTGGCCGTACGCGAGACGAACTGGAGAGGAACGGCTCCGCCACTTGCTCCAAATTCTATGACACGTGCCAAAAGCTGAAACTCGTTATCTCAGCCCAGAAATCTACGGCCATGGTCATACCGCGTCCAGGTACAAACCCCACGAGACGACCTTGTATTAAGCTAATGGGCAGAAACTTGAAAATCACCAAAACGTTGAAATACCTTGGAGTCACGTGGGACCAAGGCTTGACCTGGCTACCACATCTACAAGAAGTCAAAGTCAGAACAGCTAACATTGCAAAGAAAGCCAGGCAGTTTCGGGGACAAAACTGGGGGCAGAACCCTTACATTCAAAAACTGCTCTACTTGACGGTTGCAGAAAGGATTGTACTCTATGCCTCAGCTATTTGGGCACTACCAATGGGCAGCCGTAAAATAAAAGCCCTGTCAGCAATTCAAAGACCTTTTGCTCTCAACATTAGCAAGGCATATAGAACAACCGCGACAAATGCAGCACTTGTGCTTACCGGGCTCACACCCCTTCACATCAGGGCCAAGTTAGAAGCAATATATGAGCGGGTAATAAGATTAAAGGAGAATGCTGCACTCGACACCACAGTCTTCAGCACGCTGCAGTACGAAACACCAGGCAGCACACAGCACGTGCACCCAGCACATAAAAACTCGGGCATACACGTCAAAATAGCAAAGAGATCTACGCCGCGAATAGAGGATGTACCAGTCGCCTCGCAATTCTACACAGATGGCTCCAAACATGATAACGGAGTGGGTTGTGCTTATGCTTATTATGAGCATGGTACACTTCACAGTCAATGGAAAGGTCATCTTGCAGCTCACAATAGTATCTTCCAGGCGGAGGCCATAGCAATTGAAGCGGCAATACAGTACGCACATGACATACAACTTGCACGAACAGAAATCTGCACAGACAGCATGTCAGTGCTGCAGGCATTAAAGAATCATCATCACACATCTCCCATAATCCTGCAAATCCAACAGACATTGCATAGCAACCAGCAATCTAACATCAAGCTAAAATGGGTAAGAGGCCACTCTGGGATCGCAGGCAATGAGATGGCAGATCAACTGGCCAATGAGGCAGCAATCAACAATAATGCACAGGCTGTCTCAGCACTAATCCCGCCGTCATTTTTAAAAAGACAACTAAGAGACATAGGGAATAAACAATGGCAACACGAATGGGAGAATGGAGATACCGGCAGAAGGACTTTCGAGTTCTACCCTGTAGTAGATAAAGAACGCTTACAGGCCATACCCCCTTTAGTAAACTATATCACGGGGCATGGCCCTTTTCCCACCTTCTTTTATAAGCGTGCTATTTCCATGACAGAAGCGTGTGTGTGGGGGGGAAATTGGCTCCCCCGACCACTACGTGTTCAACTGTAGCCTCACGACGAGCCATCACCTACCATATCCCACTACGGATATAGTACCTTACAAGAGGTTCATCATCAAACACGCACCTGCGATAAGAAATATATGTAAAATTATACAGCAGCTGAGCGCTCTAGGGCAGGATGTCTGCCAACCAACATAGGAATAATAGCATACACAGCGCAATAATTCTATGTCTCTATTGTAACTTAGCAGGTGTTATGTCTAAAATTGTAAATATGTAAGTGTATAAGTAACTGTGTAATGTAAGTAATGTAAGTAATAGTGTAATGTAAGTAATTTAATCAATGAGTGTAATACGTCGTACTATGTGTACTTTTAACATAACGTAATCGGTAATGTAGTCATTAGCGCGTGCCCCATGTGTATTATTTTAAGTAACGCATATATGATTATAAGGCAAAGTATGTGTGCCTATCTTGTTATATATCATAATGTCATTTAAGAAGTAATAGCAATAATGTAAACTATAAGTAATCCAGTTATAAAGTAACTTAGCAAGTTCGCAATACCATTAGCTTAACGTAGTATACAGTCAGGTTATAACTCTAATAAGTGTAGATTAATGTCATGCATTATGTATGTGTAGTCTAATGTCATGTGAAGTGTAAAGTATGTATGTACTAATTCATGCAAGTATTATGTATAAGTTTAATGTCATGTCATATCATGTATGTAATGTTATGTTTCATGTATGCATTATGGCCTATGAACACCCAGGTCAACCATTAACATAAGAATCTGTACAGAACCAATGTCAAACTGGAATAGCCCTTGTATGGCCATGTAAACTTTTTCATGAAGGCTCAGTAACTCCCGGTGCGCCCTTGTGGGACCCCAGGGAGTTCTTGTATCTATATAGGGGAGGGCGGGCGTGGGACATATGCCTGTTTACCTCCGTTAAAACACCAGGCGTCCCCGTCCTCCGTCACCTGTCCCGTATATTAGTCTTCACAGTACAGAACACTGTTCATCGAGGGATGGTCAGGCTCGTAGGCTGTATGTACGTCTTGTCTGCCCCGCTGTGGGTCGCAACCTGAAGAGTGTTAGATATTGTGCTGCGTGGGATTTAGCCCCTTCGGTTCTCTTGGGAGCCAACATTTAGACGGTATTCCTCTTATCGCGTTGTGGCTGCCGGGGTAACTTCCGGTAGCCTTTTTGTCGTAGCCTAGTGGGGGCTGCGCCCTCTCGGATCGTCTCCGGAGTATGGATGCTGATCCTGAAAAGCCAATTCGCTATGTGCAGAAGTCCATCTCTGGTAGTCTGTCTCTCTGATACACAACCTACCTGCGTTACCGAATTCCGGGCCATGCTCGTTATATATTCTTTCTTGTTTGCATTTGACTGTCCCTTATAAATAGTTCCTTTGTGTCAGTTCTATCAGGCGAGCTCAAAATAAAGTTTCCCCTCAAAGAGAATGTAAGGATCCTAAGTTTTACTAACGTTTATTTTATTTTAAAACTGCACTATCACTTCTTATTTTCTACTTCCGACCAGAATTAAATGCTTTAACTTGTTTATACAAATTGTCTTGCTAACGCCAAGTACTTAAGTTATGGCCTTTTGCCAAGCAAGCCGCTTGCCACTGTAGTTTTACGAGTTTTCATTCGGTTGCTGGTTGCCTTTAAGACCAGAGGTTTTGCCCTCTTGATATTTGTAGGCGTATCGTAGTTTCAGCAGCTCGGTGTACTACATACGTACCTTTTTTAAATAAAGGCCAGTCTTAGTGCTAGGCATTTGTATTCTAATTCAAAGTTAGCTTTTAGTTAGAGTTAGTTAGTAGTTTTTATATTCTTACGTTCAGACCACAAGTGGTTGGTCTCTGTATTCCGAAGTTTCGGAAATACCTGTAAAGTATTGAAAATAAAGGGTTTCGTATACCCTTCCTGCTTTTGTTGTCTACTTCACACCTTCCTGAACATAGCTTGAGTAAGCTCCCTGTTCCTATTAAGGACCATTCATGTTTCCAAAGCAAATCAAGAGAAACACAAGTCCTGACAAGTATACTAAACCCACTAAATCTCTTATAGGCAGTTCTGCTATTGAAAATTTTGAAAGCATGTAATTTCTCACCAACAGTTACGGGATGTTGTTCCTTTTTCTGAAGTTTCTGAAGTCGTTCCAAATATTTTCTTTCACAGTCGTCACCTTCCTTATAACACAGCTTATATTCTTCCAAGATGGGCTTTTCTCCACAAATTTCAGGAAAATGGCATCTTCTGCAACAATAAATAAATAATGAAAAATAAATAAATAAAATAAAATATTAAAAAAATCTAAAAGATTTTAGATTTTACATTACGCCCAAAGAGGCTTTTTTTTTAATAGTTTTGTGTGTTACCTTTATTTATAAAATATTATGTTCTTCGCACTTAAACCATAAAATTCGATTCAACAGCAATATCACAAAATATTTAAAAAAGCATATCTTTAGAATTTCTGATACACAGTCTCGAGCGCTAGAGATTTTTTTTTTTTTTTTTTCCGCGTAATGTTGTCATTGCTTGCTTTGAAATCGTCGAGTTTAATCAAAATATCGTTAACGTTTTACAAAATCTAAAATAAATAACAAAAATTACAAATTCCGGGCTTCCATATTCGAGTGGCGGACTGGGCTATTCAAAATTTGATGTCTCTAGGAACCGTTGCTTTTTCACAGTGCGAGAGACATACATACATTTAGGCAGGTTCTTCATTATTTAATTTCTTTAAATATAATGCAAGCCTTTAACATTTGGTGGCAACAATTTGAAAAGCAAAACGCCGTTTATGATGAAAGAACACAAAATGCCAAAACGAAATTAATAGCCCTTCTGGTCAAATTGTCCCTTTGGGCTAGAGAAAAGAAGCAAATCACTAAATAAAGATTCTAATTTAATTCTTTATCACAAATTATATGATCTTCTGCAAAAGGAAAATACTAAATAGTATATTTTCTTAGAATCTGCTTATTTTACTTCATTCTGCACACCACAATGATTTTTTAAAAAAACTTAAATTTGCAGTTTAAAAAGAAGCTAGTAAAAAAATTACTTTCTAATTATGTTGCAGAGTGTGTTTATTTCAAAAGCTCTAATTGAATATTTCTAGCAATGATTACAAAAGCATAAAACAACATCAACATTTTATACTTCTGAAATGAGATAAAAAGTTTAAAGCTTGTTTATATATATATGTGTGTGTAACAATTATTTTATAATATGTTTAAAGCTTGGCGATGTTATTTTTATTTCATATTTTGTAAAACTTAGAATTTTTTTATTAACAAACTCTACGATTTAAAAGCGAGCAATGGCAACACTTTTTGAAATAAACCAGATGTTTATCTCCAGCATGCGAGACTGTTGCCACTCAAGAAAAAGAGGTCGAAATTTAGCGTTTTTAGAGTTTTTAATTAATACCTCGGCTGATTAAAGTCGTACGAACACGGGAACAATCGAAATGACTTCCCACGAATTTTTGGAATCGAGAATAATATGTCTAATGTTTGACAATGCTATTTTTATTTAACATTTTGTAAAGCTCAGAAATTTTTTATTAAGAAACTTTACGATTTGAAAGCGAGCAGTGGCAACGCTTCACGAAATAAAATAGATTTTTATCAGCATGGTGCGAGACTGTTGCCACTCGGAAAAATGAGGACAAAACTTAGCGTTTTCAGAGTTTTTAATTAATATCTCCACTGATTGTACGAAGATGAGAATGGTCGAAATGGCTTCCCACGAATTTTTCAAATCCGAGAATGCCTCTCTTGAAATTCAACTCTCTGCCGTTCCGGAGTATATAATGCCACAAACAAACAAACAGACGAGCACAGATTTTAATAATATAGATCAGCGGTTCTCAACCTTTCGACTAACCAAATCATAACCATCTAAACCAAAACTGAAAAACTTTAGTATCACCACTTCATTTCACAATGATTATTTTTCAATTTATCAATAGAAATATATTTTTAAAAATATATTTTTCCACTTGTACAACCTGTTGGCTATATTAAATGTGCTCACATAAAAAATATTAACTTAAAAGTTGGTTACCATTTTAATTATCAAAATCTGAATTATAATATTTTAACTCTAAAATTTATTGTGAAATTTGGGCCCTTTTTAAGAGAGATCAATTTCTTTACGTCTGCTCTTGTTTCACTTAACTTTAACCGTAAATTAGGATCCAATCTTAATTTTGTTCTGTATTTCATTTTCAAGTAAAACGTGGAAGGAAATACTTGTTCACACAAATAGGTTGTGCAAAAACGCAATCAAAATTTAAAAGCTTTATTTGAACCGCCTTAAAATTCTTTTTTTCAGCCAAAAGTTAACAAGTGTGTGATGTATTTTTGAAATCTTCAATTGCAGTTCGATCACAGGAAATTTCCATCAGTTTTCTTTTTCTTCACGAGGTCTTTGAATTTAATAGTTAAAAATACTTTGTTTCTTTGCCCATGACCTATTTTTCTCTTGCGTGCCACCGGTTGAGAATCACTGGTATAGATAGATGCATGAAAAGAAGTAAAAAAAAAAAACCTTCAGTCACTTTTATGTAGCTTAACAGTATTGTGTGGGAATTATACTGCTTTTCAGAACTGAGTATTTTTGTAATTTTTATGAGAAAAATCGGTTAACACGCTAAATTCTCTACCAAAATCAATAACTAACTAATTTCTGAATATATAAAACAAACTATATTCTTACTTGATTCTTTTAGTGAGGCAAGACTGCGAGCACGATGTCCACCCCGACCATTGGGTGTACAAGTACGAATCCAGATGGGGCATAACTCGGAATGTAGATGGGCGACGGGTATCATTCTCATTTTTGCCATCGACCGTTACAAATTTTCGTTTACAACCGTATGAGTGGCATCCTCTGAAATGAAGAAAAGATGTTACCATTTTACATTTACTTTTAAAGAAAAGTATTCAAGCAATAAAGAAAATTCCTGAATAAATACAATTCCTGTTTGCTTGCTTCGCACAATTGATATCCGAGCGTTGTACTACAATCGAAATGTTACAACATTGGTACATACACATATACCAACATACACTGCATTTGGAGCATATTATTACGAATTTTGTACTTAGACAAGTAATTTTAGTAGAAATATAAGTAAAACTATTGTCTTTCTTTTGTAACATAATTCCCCCCCCAAAGAGAGGCTATGCCGGAAAAGCAAGAATACAGGGACAAATGCATTTAATAATGAGTAAATGGGTATCTCGATAATTTGGCGACAAATCGAAAAAAGTCGCCAGATTTGGCGACCATTTAGCGACATTTGGGCCCGGTCCCTATATTACCGCAATATGTATTGAAACTGAATAAATGTAATTGACCGTTATGTTAGCTGCAACCGTAATTCCAGCCTCGTAGTGCTTTCCAGTAATTTCGAGCAGCAGAAAGGGCTAGAAATATCTGGACGGCCGGCTGAAAACTATTTAAGGCCGAAGAGACAGCATCTGCTCTCAGAATGATACGCTCCATAGAGACCTGCAGATCGAAACTGTGGACAAGTTTCTCCACAAAATGAACGACAATTTCTTCAAGAATGCTCTGACTTGTTCACACCTTGGTCAACTTAATGTCTTCAATTATGAAATTCTCGAAATGGACTCAGAAATTAGACCGCTCTCGGCCCATCTCACCCGTGACTCAAACTTCCCTACCTAATTTTTGTACATACTCATGCATATATTATTTCTACCTTATTATATCCTTTATGTATGTTGTATTTCAGTAGTATTTTATTGTAATTATCCCCCTTATCTCCTACCTCTTATGTTACTGTGTAATTTTTTATGTATTGTATGTATTTATGTATGCTTAATTTATCATGATCTTGCCTTTGTCTATGCTAAGAGATGTCTATGCCTCTCAGTTGTCCCTCGCTGCTCCGACTCGTTTGTATCATCCTCAGTCTTTAACGTGACTCCTAGTCACGTTACGTGTGTACGAGCCAGTTTCCCTTAGAAAGTCCTCCACAAAGGCATTCCTCCCCTTAGGCAGATAGCCCTCGAGGCTTTGCCGTAATTAAATAACCTAACCTAACCTAGTCACGTTAAAGACTGAGGACTTTAACTTGACTAAGACTGTGACTTTTAGACTGTGACTCCTAGTCACCCCCTTTTTACACAACTTAAACTTCCACTTAACTACGTCCGGCATTTTCTAACGTCATGTGCCTTCTCAGCACTCAGCATTGTTTGTCCCTGAGCCGGAGACGTCGCGCCTTGCGCGATATTTGGGCGATATCTGTGCGGATGTGGATCTGCTCTCAGTTGCTTAGTTATTATTGTTGCGAGTCGTTAGTTGAACTGAGGTATCCGAGTTAGCTTTCTCTTTAAGATGCTCTTTGCATTGTGTTGTGTTTACGTTCTTAGTAGTTTGATGCATACCTACTGATTGTACTCTGTGATATTGTGAGCTCCCGTACGAGTATTTCTGCGGAAAATTCCAGAACTTTGTAGTGTTTATTTCGATAAAATAAATTTTTATTAAACTATCGTCCGACCTGTCTACATTCAATCCATTACGAACTCGTAAGCACGCAACAATAATGTTATAAGAGCCACAACTTAAAAATATTATAAGACGAATAGAAAAAAATATGTGTGTGACGTGCAGGCACTCAGCTGATCAATGTTTATTAAAGTTTAACAATATTTAATCTTACTCGAAACATTGTGTACGCAGAAGTTTTTGATTAATTTCATGAGTTGATTTATTTTTGTTAAGTTAACAGCTCATTAATGCTCAGAGTTTGCATCGTAATATAAAAAAAAAAAAAAAAAAATCTGAAATGTTTCAGATTATTTTAAATTACGGTCCAAAGGGGCGTTTTTAACATTTTGTGTGTTTACCTTTCTTTATTAAATATCATGTTCCTCGCACTTAAACCATAAGATCCAGTGCAACAGCAATATCGCAAAATAGTTTTAAAACGAGCCTATCTTTAGAATTTTCGATACAGAGACTCACGCGCTGGAGATAAAAATGTTTTTTCTGCACAACGTTGCCATTGCTCGCTTTGAAATCCTTGAGTTTGTTAATCAAAAATTCGTCAAAGTTTTAAAAAATAGGAAATCGATCATAAAACAAATTTCAAATTTCAAATTTGGTCTTCCACATGCTCATATTCGTTGGAGGATTACGTTATTCAAAATTCGATGACTCTATGTACCGTTATTTTATCCAATAGTGAGAAATATACATACATTTACGCAGATTTTTCATTATTTAATTTCTTCAAATATAATGCAGGACTCTAACATTTTATGGCGACAGTTTGAAAAGTGAACCGACATTTATGAGTCCGACGCAAAATGCCAAAACGAAACTAATAGTCCTTCGGGATTCAAATCCCTTTGGACTAAAAAGAAATCTGAAAGGTTTCAGATTTTAAATTACGTCCAAAGGGGCGCTTTTTTAACATTTTGTATGTTACCTTTATTTATTAAATATCACGTTCTTTGCACTTAAACCATAAAATTCAGTTCAACAGCAATACCTCAAAATAGTTTCTTTCTGTACAACGTTGCCATGGCTCGCTTTGAAATCCTTGAGTTTGTTAATCAAAAATTCGTTAAAGTTTTACAAAATAGGAAATCGATCATAAAACAAATTTCAAATCTGGGCTTCCACATGCTCATATTCGCAGTAGGATTACGTCATTCAAAATTCGATGGCTCTAGGTACCGTCGTTTTATCACAATGCGAGAAATAAACATGCATTTATGTAGATTTTTTCATTATTTAATTTCTTCAAATATAATGCAGGACTCCAACTTTTGGTGGCAACAGTTCGAAAATTGAAACGGACATTTATAATGAACCAACGCAAAATGCCAAAAGGAAATTAATAGTCCTTCAGGGCAAATTGCACGTTTGGACTAATAATTGGTCCCGCCTTCATTTAATCTTTTTTTAATATGTTAATATAATTTATTAACTATTTAATTTCGTTTAATCCTCCTGTCGCCAATTCTCAAAATGTATATACACACAACTTTAAAGTTGGATTTATTTTCTTCTTTTTTAACTCCTCCATGCTCATTCTCGAGCAGTTTATTTCCGTTCGTACTGCTTAGCGAATTTCAAGTGTTCGCCTACTCAGTTCATTAGAGGTGGTGGTGTATTTAATTATGGCAAAGCACACTAGGGCTATCTGCCTAAGGGGAGGTATGCCTTCGTGGAGGACTTTCTAAGGCAAACTGGCTCGTATGCTCGTTACACATGAGGAAAACCACGAAAACGCCCATGCAGCCAGCCCGTTCGTGGGATTCGAACCTCGAAACGAACTACCAGTGTTCAGCGACTTTACTGTTCGGCCACTGGTGGGCCCTCAGTTCATTAGAGAATGCGGGGTTTGCTAGCGCAATTCTAATTTAGAATTCGGCACCTAATGTCAGTTATTACTTTTAGATGGACTTAAACTGACGATTATCTATTTGTACAATAGCCAAGCATTGCAGAAGGGCGTAGATGGGAATTAAAAAAATACTCAGCTAGAATGGAAATACAAATTTGTTTTCGAGTACTTGTGTTTTTCACTTTTATTTGCAAATATCAGTTACTAAATATTAACAAAATTGTGCTATTACTTCCTTATATAAAGTAAAAGAAGTATAGTAATCGGGGAAAATTTCGGGTATAATATTTTAACGTGAATTTACATTTTGACCATTCCCGAATCCATCCCCCCCTCTTTTTTTTCCCTTGACGTTTATACGTACGGAAAGAACAAGGGATTCTTATTTTTTTTTTTTTTTTCAAAAACGGTTCTAAAATGAATTTTAAATTAGTTTTTACTTTCTTGTATAAGTAAAGGAAGTATTATAATTTCGAAAAATTCCGGGTATCATATTTCAACGAAAATATCCATTTTGAAAGGTATCGAATGCAATTTAACAATGTTTTTGAGTGACATCTGTATGTAAGTACAAAATAAAGTAATAATAAATAGTAATAAATTGTTTCTCATAGAGAATTTTGAAGCACGTTCTGCTTTCGAAGATATGTGATGGAGAAAAGCGATGCACATTACGCTTTTTTCCCTTTTTAAGATCCAAATCAGCATTAATTACTTTATTTACAATTGACACTGAGCATTTTAATGATTATGCAACTGTCCTTTGAACTCGAAAATTTTCTTTTAACATTAAAGTTCTTACCTTTGCAACACCAAATATTCCGTTTTCTCCTTGGATATGTATGTGATGTATCAGCTTTAGTCGTAGCTTAAATAATCAGACGATAAGTTTAAAAAACAGGATCCATTTATTATTATTCAGGAGAAATAGCAGTTACAAAATTCATATCTCCGGAGTAAATAAAAAAGAATTACTAATAACTTTTTGTATGAAGTTTACTGCATTGTTACATTAAAGAATAAGCTCCGATATTCCTTTTGCGACTCTTTTTATAGCCTCTGGAAAGGCGGAGCTTCCAAGAAATGACGTCAGCCATTCCAGTTCGCTTTAAATATCTCTAGAACATTCTAAAACTGTACGTGTAGAAAAGGCGGGAAAAAGAACTTGACTACGGGGCTGTGGATTTAATTCCACGTACTTTCAAATAAGAGAACGTCGCCATTAAAAATGAAAGTTACAAAATACAGTTAGAAAAGTAAGTGTATTCTTGACTATGGAATTTTATTATTACATGTATTTTGAAAATTTTCTCTACTTGAAGCCAAATCTTGACGTTTTTTCCTTTCTTATTGATAATATTATCTATCGTTGCTTTAGATACCGAAAAATCATGGCTTTCGCAACACTTTTTAGGAACTAAATACGAATAATAGTCTTCAGAAAGAGCAGAAAACAGAGACACCCG